AAAATGTGATATAATATACAGTATTTATCCAATATATCATGACATATCCATAATAAAATGTGATATAATATACAATATTTATCCAATATATCATGACATATCCATGATAAAATGTGATATAATATACAATATTTATCCAATATATCATGACATATCCATGAGATTGAGAATTATGAACTCAGACACATAATTTCTAATTTTGATCCAAACATTTGATAGTTGTCATGATAAATTATTCATAATAATAAGATTGTAGAGATGCAAATATTAGCCGACTTAAAAACTATATTCACAGCTGGTATATTGCTTCTTATTTATTAGGAGTGGTTTAGCAATACCACGCCTAAAGACCTTATTTTCTAAGGCGAGTGATCCCATCATTTGCCTATGACTCGCCCAAGTCATGGCCCAAAAGAGCTAATTACACCTCTCTCAATCAATATAACTTTGAAGAGATTTTATTACCACAACTCCTAATCACTCACATTACTGTGTTCAGGATACATTTTTAGCTTCCGGGCTATTTTCAAAAGATGGCCTATGTAATGTAATGTAAAGTTTAGACTTACCTCATATTTTGGTGCATTATTACATTGTGGAAAATTTCCCTGATTGTCACCATTGTGTATGAGATAGTTGTCCACAAGATTCCAACCCCAGCTTTGATCGTCGCCTCCAAGAAGAGCAACGTATCCATGACACTGCATGGGGGCAATTTTCGTAGCAATTCCTACAACTGCTACAGTGCCGAGAGGACCTTCCCACCATATTTCCCAGGCATGACGACCACTGTTAAATCCTCGTTTACCCCTTGAGCCATCAGTACTTTGTGCTACAGGGTTTCGATGAATTGTAAAACCATTAGCGCTTACGTAAACGTTCCGAGAACAGTCATTGGCGTTCCAGCTATGTAGAAATGACCGTACTTTCCCCTTATACGTTAGCACATTCGAGAGAATGTCACCTTTTAGTGCCTCTTTGGAAAGCGTTCTAAGACACACTAACCTCCATACAGAATTGTTCTCATCTTGAAGGAATTGATTCCATGATTTACAGACTAATGCACAATTAAATAGGTCCGGTAAGTCAACATATGAAAAGATAACTTCGTAAACCGGAGAAGGCAGATTGGCCGCCGCCATTTTGGACGGCACTAACACGCATGAGCAAAGCAGTCGCCGAGTATTTATTGGAGTAACTGAAAACCAAACACTTTACGTGTAATACCAGGTTGAAGATGATGCAGATATTTTGAACAATCAAAATTTGTCAAATTAGCATAATAATAATAATAATAATAATAATAATAATAATAATAATATTATTTTAGATTTTATTTAAATATGGTACAGGAAGGATATGGTGGATCGCATGTTCTTTTCAGTTATTTAGGATGTTTGTGGCCGGATGAAATTTTTGACAAAGAAAAATAAAAATTTCAAAATGCCATCAGCTGCCGAGGTCGACTTTCTTCAAACTTCGTATGAGTATCATACGGGTTACCAATGTTTTGTGTCTTGGCTGAATTCGACAGGCATGTATATGCAAATTTGATTCAACGCGTCATCAATCATTTATTTCGCTGGTGTTCATGGTTCTGTTTCGTTCCAACTTGATGCTGTCTTCACTATGATGGGCTATGATTTTATTTATTTATTTATTTATTTATTTATTTATTTATTTATTTATTTATTTATTTATTTATTTATTTATTTATTTATTTATTTATTTATTTATTTATTTTATTTATTTATTTATTTATTTTATTTATTTAATTGGGTATTTGGCGTCACAGCAAAATGTGTTCCCGATGACGTTAAAGACTGGGTATTTGGCGTCACACTGTGTATAAGAAATGTGTTCCCGATGACGCATAACACTGGGTATTTGGCGTCACACTGTTTGTAAGAAATGTGTTCCTGATGACGTTTAACACTGGGTATTTGGCGTCACACTGTGTATAGGAAATGTTTTCCCGATGACGTATAACACTGGGTATTTGGCGTAACACTGTCTATGAGAAATGTGTTCCCGATGACGTTTAACACTGGGTATTTGGCATCACACTGTGTATAAGAAATTTGTCCTCGATGACGTGTAACACTGGGTATTTGGCGTCACACTGTGGAAAAGATATGTTTTCCCGATGACGTATAACACTGGGTATTTGGCGTCACACTGTGTATAGGAAATGTTTTCCCGGTGACGCATAACACTGGGTATTTGGCGTCACACTGTGTGCCAGTGTGAGAAATGTTTTCCCGGTGACGTATAACACTGGGTATTTGACGTAACACTGTGAAAAAAAATGTTTCCCCGATGACGTATAACACTGGGTATTTGGCGTCACACTGTGTATAGGAAATGTTTTCCCGATGACGTATAACACTGGGTATTTGGCGTAACACTGTGTATGAGGAATGTTTTCCGGATGACGCATAACACTGGGTATTTGGCGTCAAACTGTGTGTGAGAAATGTGTTGCCGATAACGCATAATACTGGGAATTTGGCGTCACACTGTGTATAAAAAATGTTTTCCCGATGACGTATAACACTGGGTATTTGGCGTAACACTGTGTATGAGGAATGTTTTCCGGATGACGCATAACACTGGGTATTTGGCGTCACACTGTGTGTGAGAAATGTGTTGCCGATAACGCATAATACTGGGAATTTGGCGTCACACTGTGTATAAAAAATGTTTTCTCGATGACGTATAACACTGGGTATTTGGTGTTAAACTGTGTATAAGAAATGTGTTCCCGATGACGCATAACACTGGGTATTTGGCGTCACACTGTGTATAAAAAATGTTTTCCCGATGACGTATAACACTGGGTATTTGGCGTCACACTGTGTATAAGACATGTGTTCCCGGTGACGCATAACACTGGGTATTTGGCGTCACATTGTGTATACAAAATGTTTTCCCGATGACGTATAACACTGGGTATTTGGCGTCACACTGTGTATAAGAAATGTGTTCCCGATGACGCATAACACTGGGTATTTGGCGTCACACTGTGTATAAAAAATGTGTTTCCGATGACGTATAACACTGGGTATTTGGCGTCACACTGTGTATAAGAAATGTTTTCCCGATGACGCATAACACTGGGTATTTGGCGTCACACTGTGTATAAGAAATGTGTTCCCGGTGACGCATAACACTGGGTATTTGGCGTCACACTGTGTATAAAAAATGTTTTCCCGATGACGTATAACACTGGGTATTTGGCGTCACACTGTGTATAAGAAAAGTTTTCCCGATGACGCATAACACTGGGTATTTGGCGTCACACTGTGTATAAGAAATGTGTTCCCGGTGACGCATAACACTGGGTATTTGGCGTCACACTGTGTATAAGAAATGTTTTCCCGATGACGCATAACACTGGGTATTTGGCGTCACACTGTGTGTAAGAAATGTGTTCCCGATGACGTATAACACTGGGTATTTGGCGTCACACTGTGTATAAGACATGTGTTCCCGGTGACGCATAACACTGGGTATTTGGTGTCACACTGTGTACCAGAAACGTATTCCTGGTGGCAAATAACATTGGTACATGTACTAATTTGGCTCGAAACAAACGAAAGACAACATTTTTCTATTGGCTCCTCTATTCCAGTCATGCTTTGTGTCACAGTTTCCAATGATTTCACCATTCCACATGTACATTGTATCCCAGTTCCCAATAATTCCAATATGCAATCTCTACATTGAATCTCAGTCCCTATTAGTTTCATTATTCCATCTGTACATTGGATACCAGTTACAAATAATTTCACTATTCCACCAGTACGTTAAATCCCAGTTCCCAATTATTTCACTATTCTATATGTACATTGAATCCAAGCTCCCAATAATTTCACTAATCCATCTGTACTTTAAATCCCAATTCCTAATAATTTCACTGTTCCATCTGTACATTAAATCCCAGTTCCTAATAATTTCACTATTCCACCAGTACATTGAATCCCAGTTCCCAAAAAATTGACTATTCCATCTGTACATTAAATCCCAGTTCCCAATAATTTCACTATTCCATCTGTGCATTAAATCCCAGTTCCTAATGATTTCACAATTCCACCTGTACAATGAATCCCAGTTCCTAATCATTGCACTATTCCACCAGTACTTTAAATCCTAGTTCCTAATGATTGCACTATTCCACCTGTGCACTGAATCCCAATTCCCAAAGCTTGCACTATTCCACCTGTGCATTGAATCCCAGTTCCCAGTAATTTCACTATTACATCTATACATCAAATCCCAGTTCCTAATGATTGCACTATTTCACCAGCACATTAAATCCCAGTTTATAATGATTGCACTATTCCACCTGTACTTTAAATCCCAGTTCCTAATGATTGCACTATTCCACCTTTGCACTGAATCCCAATTCCCAACGATTGCACTATTCCACCAGTGCATTGAATCCCAGTTCCCAGTAATTTCACTATTACATCTGTACATCAAATCCCAGTTCCTAATGATTGCACTATTTCACCAGTACATTAAATCCCAGTTTATAATGATTGCACTATTTCACCTGTACTTTAAATCCCAGTTCCTAATAATTGCACTATTCCACCTGTGCACTGAATCCCAATTCCCAATAATATCGCTATTCCACATTACATTAAATCCCAGTTCCCAATAATTTTACTATTGCACCTGTACATTAAATTCCAATTCCTAATGATTTCACAGTTCCAGCTGTATCTTAAATCCCAGTTCCCAATGATTGCACTATTATATTCCATCTGTACATTGAATCCCAGTTCCTAATGATTTCACTATTCCACATGTACAATGAATCCCAGTTTCTAATGATTGCACTACTCCACCAGTACATTAAATCCCAATTCCCAATGATTGCAATATTCCACCTGTTCATTGAATCCCAGTTCCCAATAATTTCACTATTCCACCAGTACATTGAATCCCAGTTTCCAATGATTGCACTATTCT